GGTGTGTGCGGCGGGGGGGGGGGGAACAGCGGCCACTTTTACTGTGCATTAGTTTGACCAAAATGGCGAAGCGGCTGGAGAACGCGGTCGAGCGCAAGGCTTTTCTGCGGAAAGTCAGAGACGACGTGCTGGCGCTTGCCACGGGAGAGAGTTAACTGGTGGTGGTGGTGGTGGTGGTGGTGGCGGATGCCCGCAGTAAAAAAGAGAAAACGTGGACGGTGTGCATGGAAGGGGATGAGAGAGGACGGTGTGCCCTTCATACGTGGTTTTCTCTGTGTGTGCCTCTCTATCTTTCTATCTCTCTCTCTCTCTCTCTCTCTCTCTGGCGTCTGCTTCTCCTTTTATCACCGCCACTGCAACGATTGGCATGCGAGAAGGAAGGTTAGAGACAGGCATTTTTGCACGTATATATTTGATAGATACGTCCCAAGAAACCAGATACCACATCATTATTGACGGAGGAAGAGCATACATATATAAGCAAACACACGTACATCATGGAAGCGTACAGTAAACTGGAAAAGATATTCACGAAAATTTATCGTTTTCGTCATCTTTGTTCCCTGGCGTTCTGGGACATACAAGTGATTATGCCGCCGGGCGGTGCTGAGGCTCGTGGTGCGGCCCTTGGGGAGCTCGAGCTGTACATCCACGGACTACTCACCGATCCCGCGACAGGCGCCTTGCTGGAGGAGGCAGAAAAGGCCCAGCAACAGCTGGGAACGCTGCAACGGGCAAACATTCGTGAGATGCGTCTTCAGTGGGAACGGGAGAATCTTCTTCCAGAGGACCTTCTCAGGAAGAAGTCGGAACTAACGACTAAAGCTCAGTATATATGGAGAAAGAGCCGAGAAACGAACGACTACGGTCTGTGGCTGCCTGTGTTCAAGGAGCTGGTGACGCTGTTTCGGGAGATGGGTGCCGCCCTGGCTGGGGACTCTGGAAAGCACCCCTATGAGGCGCTCTTTCACCTTTTCGAGCCTGGCATGCCTCTCCAGCGAGTGGACGATATATTTAACGATGTGAAATCGTGGCTTCCCGCGCTTATTCATGAGGTGCAGGAGAAGCAAAAGGCGTCGGTGGAGGTTTTGGAGCCTGTTGGTCCGTTTCCCCTCGAAGCTCAGCGCGAGCTCAGCCGTTACTGCATGAACGTGTGGAAGTTTGATTTTGACGCCGGTCGCCAGGACATCAGCGCCCACCCGTTCTGCGGGAACGTTAAGGAGGATGTGCGGATCACCACAAAGTACAACGAGCAGCGCTTCGAGGAAGGTCTCATGGGGGTGTTGCATGAGACCGGGCACGCAAAGTATGAGCAAAACTGCGGCCCCAAGGAAATGGCTACTCAGCCTGTTGCCACATCCCGTTCTCTCGGCGTGCATGAGGGGCAATCGCTCTTTTCAGAGCGTATGATTGGTCGTTCACAACCCTTCCTGGAGTTTATTCTGCCGAAGCTGAAGGAGTTATTTGGTGACCAACCAGCCTTTACGGTGAGGAACATGACGAGATACATGCGCCGTGTGAAGCCTGGTTTCATTCGGATCCGTTCGGATGAAGTGTGCTACACTATGCACGTTATTCTCCGCTACGAGATTGAGCGTGACCTGATTGAGGGAAAACTGCGCGTTGAGGACGTCCCCACAGTGTGGAACGAAAAGATGAAGTCGTATTTGGGGGTTGAGACTCTTGGCAACGACAGGGATGGATGCCTGCAGGACATTCATTGGGCTATTGGGTCCATGGGATACTTCCCAACCTACTCCTTGGGGGCGATGGTCGCGGCGCAGCTGATGGCCTCCATCCGGCGGGATCTCGGGGAGGATGTGGTGGACGACTGCATCCGCAAGGGCGAACTCCGCCCCATTCTTGAGAAGCAGCGGGAAAAAATATGGCAGCACGGCTCCATCTTCACAACAGAGGAGCTTTTAACCCAAGCCACGGGGGAGCCTCTGAACCCGGCATACTTCCGCAAGCACCTCGAGCGGTATCTTCTTGAGGGTGCTGATTAATGCAGGTTGTGTGTGTGTTTCCTTTTAATATATATATATTTATTAATTTATTTGTGGGGCCTTTGTTCGTCCATGGCTTTGTTGTAATATTTTAATATTTTTTAAAAAAATATAAATATTTTTGCGTTTCTTACTATGCGTGCGTTTCTGCTGTTGTTTGTTGTTTGTTTGTTTTTCCTCGTTTTTTAAATCTGTTCGCCTTGCAGTAATGCAGGTCGCGTTTTTTATGCAGTGTTGTACATCGATATCGCCACTCGCGTGTGTGTAACCCTCTCTTTCTTCACGCGGGGCTCTTTTCCTTCATGTGTGGGGTCGGTATGTGCCCGGGCGGGGGGGGGGGGGGGAACAGCGGCCACTTTTACTGTGCATTAGTTTGACCAAAATGGCGAAGCGGCTGGAGAACGCGGTCGAGCGCAAGGCTTTTCTGCGGAAAGTCAGAGACGACGTGCTGGCGCTTGCCACGGGAGAGAGTTAACTGGTGGTGGTGGTGGTGGTGGTGGTGGCGGATGCCCGCAGTAAAAAAGAGAAAACGTGGACGGTGTGCATGGAAGGGGATGAGAGAGGACGGTGTGCCCTTCATACGTGGTTTTCTCTGTGTGTGCCTCTCTATCTTTCTATCTCTCTCTCTCTCTCTCTCTCTCTGGCGTCTGCTTCTCCTTTTATCACCGCCACTGCAACGATTGGCATGCGAGAAGGAAGGTTAGAGACAGGCATTTTTGCACGTATATATTTGATAGATACGTCCCAAGAAACCAGATACCACATCATTATTGACGGAGGAAGAGCA